TTTCATGTCATTCTGGTCATTTTTAGTGAGTTTTCAAACCTGTGTTTACCTTTGGCTGCTTTCCATTGAATCCATTAAAATGCATTAGTGAAATCCTTTTCTCTGAAGAGGCTTTCTCAGGGTTCTCTTTCAGGTTACTCCATTATACTTCTTTCTCTTGTGCTTTCCAGATACAGTCATGTGTTGCTGAACAACAAGGACACATTTTGAGAAATGCACCTTTGGCAAATTCATTGCTGTGTAAACATTGTACATACAAATCTAATGGTATAGCTTCTTACACACCTGAGCTGTGTGCTGTGGTATATACTGTTATGTATAGGGAGCTTGCTACTTCATGTAAAACATGACTGTCCCTTATAGAAACTTCTTCCTTGGAGAATTCTCAGTGTTAATAGAGTAGAAGTTGAAACCAGAGAAAATTATAGATGGAGGTGATAGCAACACTATATTCCAGATATCTAAGCTACTCGTAGTTGAAAATGTCAGTTGGTTTCCAGGTTGATGAATGGAAATTTGGTTTGGAAATTCCAAATGACCCCTTTTTTCCTGCTTGGATCCTGCTTTTTTGTTCTTTAAACCTTTATAGTAGAAACAAATGCATCTGGGTACCTAGAAGTTACAGCTTGCTTTCTCTAAAAGTTTTTTTTTTCCTTCTTTTTTACTGGGACATAATTTGCATACAAGTAATTCATCTTTTTAGATTGTATAATCCAGTGATTTCTTACTATATTCACAGAGTTGTGCGCCCGTATTCATGACCTAATTCCAGAACATCTTTTCACTTCCAAAAAGAACTCCATATACATTTATAACTGTAACTCATTGTCTATTTCATCTCCCTCCATTCCCAGTTTCTGCCAGCCATTAATAACTTACGGCTCTGTGGATTTGCCTATCCTAGAGATTTTATATAAATAGAATCACACAATAGGTAGCTTTTTGTTTCTGGGTTACTTGCCGTTAATGTAAAGTTTTCAAGACTTTTTTATGTTGTCTTATGTTTTAGCACTTCATTTTTTAACTAAGTAATCTATCATGTTTATACCACACTTTGTTTTCCCACTGATCAGTTAATTTGTGTTGGTTTTATTTGGCTGTTATGACTAATGCTAACCATTAGTATACAGGTATTGTGTGTTTTTATTTCTCTTGTCTATATAGATGGAAGTAGAATTCCTGGGTCATATGGAAGCTATAAACTGAGGAATGCCACATTATTTTCTATTCTTCAAAATCTTGGTAGCGTCGTGTTTTTATTATAGCCATGTTTGTGGGTATGAAGAATACCTCACTGTAGTTTGTATTTCTGTGTGTGTGTGTGGGGGGGGGGGGTATTTGGGGTTTGAACTCAGGACCTTGTACTTGGGCCAGTCTGGACACATTTTAATTATTTGTCTGCTTGTGCTTTTGGTGTTACATATAAGAAATTTAAGGTCAATAATGCATCTGTTTTCTTACTAAAATTGGTAGTTTTTATATTTAGGTCTTTATTCCATTCCAACCTAATTTTTTGTACATGATGTGATTCTTTTCCTGTGACTGTCTTATCACCATTGGTTGAGTATGGAGTGTGTGTTTGTGTGTGTGTGTGTGTTTGTGTGTGTACACACGTACGTACGTGCACATATGCTGGTACTGGTGTTTGAACTTAGGGCCTGAGTACTTTCCTTTAGCTTTTTTGCTCAAAGCTGGTGTTCTACCACTTGCGACACAATGCCACTTTTCAGTGGTTTATTAGAGATAAGAGTAACACAAACTTTCTTGCTTGGGCTGGCTTTGAACTGCACTCCTAAGTAGCTAGCATTACAGCCACCAGTGCCCAGCTTGAATATGGTTTTGTGAATTGCTCTTTGCCCTTGCTTTCATACATAAATTCTCCTGTGTGGTGCACATTTGTGAAGTGTGCAGTTTGTAAACCCTTGCCTTCCCTTTGGAACTTGATGTTTGGTTGAGACTGATGATTGCATATATACATGAAATTAAGTGGTGTATAATTAAGTGCTAGAGGAACGGTGGGGAGAAGGAAATTTCCAGGGATTGAGCAGCGGTGGTCAGTGTGGACAAAGAGCTTCATAGATGAGGTAAGGCCCCTTAGGTTATTATTCACTGCTGTGTTGTTGGTTCTAAAGGATGTATGGAATATATGGAATATCTTTGAAGAAAAAAAAATGTACAATGTTTTTGAAATACTATCTCATCGTTCAGTCTAAATAATTTTGCTAGAAGTTGGGAGCATTTGATTTAAACTTGGTGTGATTATACTTAGTGACTTGAGTATTTTCCAGTGTGACCACCCTGTATTGGATTGGGTACCTTATGAAGACCACTTCTGCTTGCTGATTGTTTTTCCCCCTTACTTTTTGCAGTGGTTGTCTTAGACCCAGACTTGGTGGGTCAGAGTCCTTTTAGCCCTCATTTTTTTCCCCTTGAGACTTTAGAGAAACGATCATTCTCATGGCACTGATGGATTTCCATGTTTTAAATCTGGTGGCCAAATCTCAGTTCACATCTTCTTGACTGAGTAACGTGTTTAGTTTTTTTCCCCTCCACAATGCCATTTTCTTGTTTCCCAAATCCTGTTCTCAAGGCCTTGATTATCTTCAGTCACTACTTTAGTAGCTCCTTTTCTAGCTCCACTTCATCTTGCCCTTCTACCACTTCTCTGTGTCCTCTGGTGAGTTCATGTAGTCTCAGCTTTATGAGTAATATAGATGTTGTGACTCATAAATTTTCATCACCAACCCTGACGTTGCTCTTGCTCTCCACATTTGTATATCCAACAGACTCACAGATTCTGAGGTGAGAATTTTGTCTCTTTCTAGCCCTTCAGATCTGCTCAGCTTTTAGTCTATTTCATCTTTTTTATTTCATTGCAATACTGGAGATTGAACTCAGGATCTCGCACATGTAAGGCATGAACTCTGCCACTAAACTATAATTTTGGCTCTTTTGTTATTTATTTTTGAAATCAAGTCGGGCCACTTTTGCCCATGCTGGCCTCAAATTTGTAATCTTTCTGCCTCTACCACCTGAGGATCTGGTATTACAGGTGTGTACCACTGTACTGGGCTTCTTTTTCATCTTAATTGGAGAAAATTTCATCCTTGTAGTTGACTCAGATTATAAACCTTAGAGACAGCTGTGAGTCCTTCTTTTCCTTATAGCCAGGCAGGTAATTTTAGGCTGAACTGTGATTAGCTGTAATCTGGGTTGCTGTCATGGCATCCTAACTTACCTTCTTTTGTTCTTGCAATTCTGTCCTCAGTATGAATTACCATATTAAAACCTTATGTCAGCCTATATGCTTTGTCTGCTCAGTTCTTTGCAACCTTTTACTCAAAAGCAAAAACCTTTATAGAGCCAAAAAGACCCTGCAAAACTAGGATGCCATTGCCTCCTGGACCTTTTCTCCTGCTGTTTTCCTTTGCCAGAAATCTCTAGACACATTGGTCTATTTGCATAGTCTAGGTATACTTCAGAAATAGAGATATTCCTCCCCTCTTCCAACCCATAATCTCCCTCTTCCTGTTTCTGAAAACAGCCTTAGTTGGTAGCCCAGGCTGCTAACCTTGAACTTGTAATCCTTGTGAGCCCTGAGGTTTCAGACATTTTGCCCCAACATGCCCAGCTGTAAATAGAGTTTTTGTTCCTTCATCTTCACTCTTCCTTTCCCTGCTCTTCAGAGAGCCACATGACTCTGCTTCACAACTTCTAAGTACACTCATGTCATTGACTCAGTGAGAACTTCTGTCTGTCCATACTGTGCTTTATGGTAATTGGGTCCCCTGTGTCTTTTTTTTTCTCTCCTGCCCCCAGTTGCATGTATCTTTGGTCATACTTCATAATTTGCTTATCTGTTGTGTGCTTTATGTCTTGTAGTAGGAGTGAAATTCTAGGGCAGGGATTCTTGGGCTTATTCATTCTTGAATTCCTTTGGCCTACATCTGTTAAATCAGAAACTTTCTTCTGGTGTTCCTGATGTAAGTTAACGTGTGAGAATCTATGCTGCATAATACTTGGTAGGATTTCAGAAAACAAGCCTGTTGCTTTCGGTGAGGATATATGGTTTTAAGTATATGAAAATAACCTAACTTGATTTGTCTTCTCTTTCTCTTCCTTCTCTTACTTTGTTTTTCTTGCTAGAGAGAACTGAAGTTTAGAGGTAACCCAGGGGATGTAACTATAATTCAATGGATTTATCAAGAGTCCGAGTCCCCAAGACCACTCTTAGGGTTTTGGTGACTCACTAGAGGGCTTTTTACCACTCAGCCTATACTCATACTTTGGGGCTGAAATTTACTACAGCAAAAGAAAAAAAAAACGGTTAACACCAGTAGGGCAAAGTCCAGGAAGCCAAGAGAAAGCTTCCAGGTGTCCTTTCCTAGTGGAGTCAAACAGGACTACAGCAACAAGTTGGGCAAGTATAAAAGAATGTTGAGATTCTTACTAGAAATGTAGCGCCCTGTTTTTGTTTTTTAAATTGATGCTGGTCATTAAAATTACAGATTCATAGGAGGAAAGCTACATTGTACAACACAGTGAGCCATTCTTACCATGCAGGGAGACATTCCTCCTTTTGCAGGTAGGACTCCGGGTAAGATAGCAGCCTCTGGCCTCCTGCATTAACATCTTCGCATCTAAAGAGATGTGTTTTTTCCTAGGCTTTTTTTATTTGGGACATAAGGTATACCTAAACTCTTTGAGTTGAATAGGTGTGTTTATTAACTTATTTTCTCAAAAGATAACACTGCCATGGTATTATTCAAAGTCTGTGCTTCTTTCTGTTATAATACTAAAGTGGTTTGTCTTATAGGAATTCTTTGACTTCTAAAAGTAAAGATATTTTTCTTATTCACGAGAAAAGTAATGTATGATAGTGGCCCTCTGCTTCAAAGCAATATTGATTTTTTTTTCTTCTGTCCTTGTTTCAAAGGTCTGTTTGACATTTGTCATTTTTGGGTATGCTTTAGTGAGTAACCAGTTTTTTTTTTTAATAGGCCAAGATGCTGAATTATCAGGGACTCTTTCGCTTGTTTTGACTCAGTGCTGTAGAAGAATAAAGGATACTGTTCAGAAATTAGCCTCAGACCACAAAGACATCCACAGCAGTGTGTCTCGGGTTGGAAAAGCCATTGATAAGGTAAGGAATTGAAGGAGGCTTTAGCACCCTCCTTCAGACAGAACTTTGATAACCTTAATGCTCCCCAGGTATCTTATCCTTTCATCTTTGCATTTGGTAACATTTACAGATCTAACTAAAGTTCCAGTTGCTATTATTTAAGAAACAAAAACAGAACCTCCTTTTATAGCTTTGTTGTTTATCCATTTGTTTGTATGACGAAGGCCCTGGTGAATAAAGTTCCTGAGAAATTTGAACTCAGTATGTGGGAGTTTGTTGATAGGAGTACATTGCTCTGTTTCCTGAGTAATTCCCTGGCTCAGGCTCTGTCTCTGTTATGGGCTGACTGGAATAACACCCTTTTATCTGTCTCTCCTGCCTCACCCTCTCTTGCTTCGGGGGCATACTGGTGCTTTTCTTCAGCTTTTTGCCTTCTGGGTTGAGTGAGTAAATTGGTTGCTAACCAGCCTGGTCAATTACTTCTTTTGAGTAATTTTTTTTTTTGTGACATTTCATGAATAAACAATCTTTGGCTTAGTGGATGACTCACAGCAGTTACTATTTTTAGCACTGGGCTGGTTTCACCCTTGAAGTTCATAGTCCTATTAAGAGTCTTAAGATGGGGGCTAGGAAGGTGGCTTAGCGGTAGAGTGCTTGCCCCTCATGTATGAGGCCCTGGGTTCAATTGCTCAGCACCACATAAATAGAACAGACTGGAAGTGGCACTGTGGCTCCAGTGGTAAGTGTTACAGTACTAGCCTTGAGCTGAAGAGCTCAAGGCTAGCACTCAGGCCTAGAGTTCAAGCCCCATGACTACCCCCCCCCCCCCCAAAAAAAAAAAAAAAAGGAGTAAGAGGAGTAGCCATACTATCTGATATAGCTGAGCACTTCAGCCAGATGGGAAGATTTTTAACTGGTCTGTGTATTTCTGTTCACACATTTAAAACTTCTGGAGGGTAGAGCTCTTTGTAGCAAAGACATCTTGTAAATACGCCTGTAAGTTGCTTAGTCTATATGTACAATAATGATGGCTGTAACAATAACACAGGCTCCTTGAGTCTAGAGATGGATTCATCTAACTCATGAGTGTGCCCCATTGTTAGGAATTAGTCTTTGGGCAATAATACTGAAAGGCTGTGTAAGACAGAACTGCTTCTGAGATGTTGTTCTCTGATGTGGTACAACAGAAGTCCTAGTGTCAAAGACTTGAGACATGTTTGGTGCCCCTACAGAAGTTTTAGTGGCCTTTCACAGAACTGTTATCACTCCCATAGTGGTCTGAGGGCTTTGACCCTGAGGGAAAGGTGATGGAATAGTGTTGGCAGCAGCAGGGTTCCAGCCATGTTATTGGATCAGTAATGGTAGTCACCAGCAAAGACTAAGAAGGCAATAAATATTCTCTGACATAAGTTTGAGGTTGTAGAACCTGTTTGATAATTCCAAGGAAGCAAATACAGCTTTGGAAGTAGGGTTGGCATCAAACCTGTTTAGGGCTGTGGCATTGGAAGTCTTTGGTTGGTACCTGAAGTGGTGGTTGGTGTGTATTAACTTAAGGACTATGGAGAAAACAGTTGGGGCCCCTGAGGTCATCTTAAATCACTTGTCCTTAAGTTTCTCTAGGACAAGTAATTATTGGTGATGTTGAAGAAGCTTCAGATTTTAGTGGTTCACTGTGACTTTTAAGGCACCTTGGTAATTCTCATGGCTTAAAGTACTGAAAGAATTGCAGGGGAGGGTCTTCAGGACATTCTCTTGCCCTCCAGGCTAGTTGGTTATATGATAGAGATTCATCTTCTGGACAGCAGAGCCAGAAGGTGCCCTGACAGAACTAATGCTTCTAAGGTAGCTAATCAGAGTCAATCTTCAAAGAGATCCTAGATTTTTGGATCTACTTGCTGATAGTAGGAGAAGCTGTTTCCCCATCAGAACTTAAAACTTGTGAATATAGGCTTCTTGCTTACATGAAGGATTTTTTTTTTTTTTTTGCCGGTCATGGGGCCTGAACTCTGGGTTTGGGTGCTGTCCCTCAGCTCTTCAGCTCAAAGCTAGTGCTCTACCACTGGAGCCACAGCGCCACTTCCGGCTTTTTCTGTTTATATGGTGCTGAGGAATCAAACCCAGGGCCTCATGCTTGCAAGGCATGCACTCTACTGCCGAGCTACCTTCCCAGCCCCTACATGAAGGATTCTGTGTAGACTGTTGTTATGTAAGATTCCATTCATTGACTTTTAAGTTGTCCCTCTTAATTTGAGCCTGAACAATTTGTGTAAGCTCTGGGGCAGCTTGTTGTAAAAGCTAGTGTTTTCATGAATTAGTGGTGAGCAAACAGGATAAGGCTGAAGCCATCATGACTCCAGGCTTGGTAGGTACCATAACAAATAAACTGGAATGCTATCCAGCCTGGGAGTACCATTTACAAGATAAAGGTCAGAAAAGCCAGTGTCTCTTGTGAGCAGGCTGTCTTTTGGTGCTTATTTTTAAAAATATACTAATCATAACCAGACTAAAATAAAAATGACTTTGGTTAGGCCCTGTGTTTGACCAGGACAGGAAGTGCCGAGTATATAATTTCTATAGGTTCAAAGGGAAAGGACTTGAAACAGCATAAGAATAATGGAAGATGTGGTCCTTCCTCCTAAAAGGCCAGTTGATCAGTTATCACAAGAGGTGTGTGTACATTAAACCCAGGAAGTTGAGTTTGTAAGTCATATTCATGTTTACATTTCATGCCTTCCTTTCTCAGAAGACCCCTGGGGGTTGGTTATTTTACTCTTTCTGTAGGCAAGAACATTGCCTACATTGGGGAACTTAGATCACAGTTAGAGTAAATGGTCCACTTATTCCTAAAGCCAATGTTATTTGTAGGGTGCATTTCAGTGTGCTTAGGACATACTCATCGTGAGCAGATGATGTTGAATGAGAAACTAGTAAAAATTTGACCTACGTTATTCCTTTATGTTTCATAACTTCTTGTTTATTAAATCTCTAGTTACTTTATAAAAATTTAAGTAGAAGTTTGTGCTCTTAACTAAGACGTTTTCTAGTTTTTAATTATTGTGAACATAAAGAGATGCTGATGATTTCTGCTTTAATGTTTTTGACCTAGAACCTCATAGCCCAGATTGGTCTGGAGTTTGCTACGTAGCCAGGCTGGCTTCAGGCTAGAAATCCTCTTGCCTTTGTTTCCTCAGTTACCATCCTCCAAGTATCAGAGTCTTGACTAGCTAGTTTTACAGGTGTGAGCCACTGATGGTCAGATTGATCTTATTTTAAATATAAATAAATGAACATTTGTTCATGCCAGATGCCAGTGGCTCACTCCTGTCAGTTTAGTTACTTGAGAGGCTGAAATCCAAGAACTGACGTTTGAAGCCAGCTTAGGCAGACAAATCCTTTACTTTTATCAAGTTGGAAATGGAGTTGTGGCCCAAGTGGTAGAACACCAGACATGAGCACAAGGCCCTGATTCAAACCCCAATACTGGCTCAAAAAAAGATTGCTTACCTCTAGATTCTTTAATATGTGTGTTGAGTTGAGTTTGTTTTGTTTTAGGGTTGGGTTTTTCTTGATTTGGTTTTTTATTTTTATAAAAACAATTGTGTTGGGCTATTTTTAATTTACCCTCACACTTTTAGAAAATCTAGAATTCTGGCATGTTAGGGCATTTTATTCAGTGTTTTGTTTAGTTACTTCACTTTTTTTTTTTGCCAGTCATGAGTATCTGAACTCTAGGCCTGGGCCCTGTCCCTCAACTCTTCAGCTCAAGGCTAGCACTCTACCACTTGAGCCACAGCGCCACTTCTGGCTTTTTGTGCTTATGTGGTGCTGAGGAATTGAACCCAGGGCCTCATGCATGTGAGGCAAACACTCTGTCACTGAGCTACCTTCCCAACCCTTACTTCACTTTTTTAATGTTGATCTTTCTTTTTCTTCTTTCGTCTCTTGTGTGTGTATGTGTTAGTACTAGGTCTTGAACTCAGGGCTTCGAGCTCTGGCTCAGCTTTTTTGGTCATGGTTGGCACTCTACTACATTATTCTACCACTTTATGCCTCCAGTTGTGGCTTTTTTGCTGATTAATTGGATTTGCTTGCCCTTGCTGGTTTTGAACTGAGATCTTAAGACATCAGCTTCCCAAAAAGCTAGGATTAGGTAGGAGCCACTCTCACTTGGTTTTTAATTGATTTCTTTCTTTTTCTTATTTTAAGTTTTATTATTAAGTAGTTATGCAAAGAGGTTATAATTCTACAAGTAAGATTATAAGTACAGTGTGTCTTGACCTGTATCACCCCTTTCTTCATTCTTCCTCATTATTCTACTTCCCATCCCTATCCTCAGAATACATAGTATAATTTTTTACATAATGTACATTGATTATAACTGCATTTGTGTGATTACTGGCTTAGACTTCCAGGTATGTATATATGTGGAAAAATAAATAAAATGCTTAAAATCTACTGTATAGTTAAAAGCTGAAAATATAGTGTATGTACTTTACAGGATTGCAGACTAATAATGTAGATGTGCCTTTTGTGCACATAAAATAACAGGAAAGGTTTTGCGGTAACATGAAATAAATTTCATGGAAATTTTAAAGTATTTCTGTGCTGTTAAAGGAAGTTAGGAAATTCAATATGACTTGGGAGAAAAGGTAAGATTTAGAGGGAAGAAAACATTATGGTGTGAGTTTTCTGTGGTAAATAGTACAAAACATCTAGTAACTACTTGTGGATTCTGTTACAGACTTAAGGACTGACTTGATTCTGGTGGCTTCCTTTCCCAGAAATAGGGCTGATCAGACAAATTGGGGAAAGACAAATGGAGGAAAGCCTAGTGAGTATGTGTTTGACCCAGAAGGAGATGTTGGAGATTATCTGGGCCCCCTTCTGAAGGAGAAAATGAGGAGTTGTTAGGCCTAGGGAGATGGTAGCTATCACTCAATATTGACCAGTGTTTCAGATTCTGAACTATGTGATTACGGATGTTTATGATGCTGGCACATTATTTCCATTTTACATACAAA